AAACCATGACTTCTTAGCTTCAGAAGTTCGGAGATTTAAATTGAACGCAACTCCAGCAAACCATGACTTTAATTACGATGGCACACATAAGAATGGCAAACATCGATAAAAATCCGGCTGCCGTCTCAACTTTCACTGGCCTTTGGCTGAATGTTTGTAAGAAATGTACCAACCGTTAACAAAACTGGTCGCCGTCTACCTAGAGTAAATGGTGCCACCAAACGAAGCTAAAGTTTTGCGACTTTACCAAAGGCAGATAAAGTTTTGCGACTTAATCACCTGATTGTGGATTGTGTGGTTAGTAAATTCCATAGGCATACTGTCCATACCGCACACTAAACTATGTGCTGTTGGAGCATTTTGGGGAAATTGACTCTCCTTTTTTCCATCCCAAACAAAATATTATTAATAAATCAACATGGTCCATCTCAGTCATCATAGCCAGGATGTGTATAAGAGACAGGTGTACAATTAGGCCAGGAAGTTTGTTTTCAACAGCAGACACTACAGAACGGAGTGCGTCAAAACGAGTGTTTGTTAATTTTTAGTGATAAAGAATCATGAAACGTCATAGAATAACTGATTATTTTTCGTCCGCTGTTGCAAAGAAGAAAACGACAGATAGTCCTTTAAGGTGGGTTATTGATTTCAAAATCAATTAGCCTAGCCTAGATGTTGACTAGCTAGGTTCGCTCCTCGTTCATTTAGAGAATTATACCCCGACGACAACAAAGTAGTGTAGGCCTAAGTACAGTAGGACGTACTACAGGTATTAAGCCTAGGCTTTTGTTGTAAAAGTTGAAGTGCATGTACAAAATGCGCCATAGGCCTATATTAAAAAAAACAAAAAACAAAAAAACAAAACATTTTGTTAATTATTATTGGTTGGCCTGGGACCGGGGCAGGCAGGCCAGCTTTACCGTCGAAAGGCCTGGAATTCGACGATGACGTCAGTGCACGTTTACAAACGCCATTGATTAGAATGAAAATAGACGCGCTGAATATCGGGGTTTTTTTATGAAAGATAGAATTTATCGAACATTTATCTATATAAAAACAAGATTAATATTGTAGAAATTGTATTTCATAAGATGCATATAGGCCTAATTCATATTTCATTTGGCAGACAATAAATATTCAGGAAGATATAATAAAAACGATTATGAATTCTAAAATGTGCATCAAATCTCAGCTATTATTAATCAGTATGTAGTCTATTATATGTTAAAGTCTTAAAATAATAATTTCGAATTAGGCCTAGTATATAACAAATAATTGTATTAAAGTTTAGGTTCTCATGGTGTCAGATAACGTATTGAATATGATGCTATATTTTGGGCTCTGACTTAATTTAACGATGGCCCTGTCAGTAGTAATGACAATATTTGTGCAGTAATGACAATATTTGTGCTTTTTTTAGCCATGTAGTAAAATAGTACTATTATTTTCAGTGTACAAAATGAGAGTCAAGAAGAAGTAGTAGAAGAAGAAGAAGAATAGGAAGAGGAGGAAGAAGAAAAATAGCTTTTTTTTTGTTTTATAATAATAAATGTGTTGAGTATATTGATATTGATTATGCGATGAGGGTTTTTTTTTTTTTATATCTTTCGGTGTTATTTAAACATGGCAATTCTCAGAAAATATTTTCTAATTTTATTATATTACCACCTTTTGATTACATAGATCTGTTTCAAAACATAACTGCTTTTAAAAGATTTTATAGACACATTAAACACAAAAACTGCTTTGGCTTCGGGGGCTTCGCCCCGACCCCACCGTGGCCCTTAGGCGTTCCCCTGGACCCCACGCCCGGAGAACCCCCCCCCCCTTGAAATGACCTGGCTACGGGCCTGTTGTATCGTATTCGCGA